GGGAACCCTCCTACACTGCTGGTGGGAATGTAATTTGGTGCAGCCATTATGGAAAACAGCATGGAGATTCCTCAAAAAACTAAAAATAGACTTACCCTGTGATCCAGCAATCCCACTCCTGGACATATATCTGGAGGGGACTCCAATTGGAAAAGATACATGCACCCCAATGTTCATAGTAGCACTATTCCCAATAGCCAGGACATGGAAGAAACTTAATGTCCATTGACAGATGACTGGATAAAGAAGCTGTGGTATATTTATACAAAGGAATACTATTCAGCCATAAAAAAGAATAAAATAATGCCATTTGCAGCAACATGGATGGACCTAGAGATCATCATTCTAAGTGAAGTAAGCCAGAAAGAGAAAGAAAAATACCATATGACATCACTCATATGTGGAATCTAAGAAAAGGGAAGAAAAAGGGCACTGATGAACTCATCTACAAAACAGAAACAGACTCACAGACATAGTAAACAATCATGGTTACAAAGGGGAAGGGTGAGGGAAGGGATACATTTGGGAGTTTGAGATTTGCAAATGTTAGCCACTATACATAAAAATTGATTAAAAAAACCAAATTTCTTCTGTATAGCACAGGAACTATATTCAATATCTTGTATTAACCTTTAATGAAAAAGAACATGAAAACAAATATATGTATGTACATATATATATACACATGACTGGGACATTGTGCTGTACACCAGAAATTGACACATTATAACTGATTTTAATTTAAAATTTAAAAAAATGTCATTTGGTGCACCTACAGCCCTCTGTCTCAAAAAACTTACACAACGTTCCTTGATTTCTAGCAGGTGGAACAGTCCTCAGAGCTTTCTGAGATGCTCTTCCCGGGTTATAATCCTCAAATTTGGCTCAAATTAAAATTTCTGTTTCTTTCTTAGATTGACTGATTAATTTTTCATTGACAGGGTCAACAAAAGATCATGGGAGAGTATAAGAATATCTGGAAATTGTGGCAGGCTGTGCTCACTTGCTTCAACCAAAACAAAACAGCTGTCATTTACTGAGCGCTTACCTGCCAGCTTCTGTGCTTTGCAGACCATATCCAATTTAATTTCACTCCTCTCCCAACACGCTCAAACTACGAGGTCGGTAATAATCATTAGCTCCATTTCCTTGGTGATGAAATCAGGGCTTGGAAAGGTTAAAAGCTGCATTAGGAGCTGGAGGTAGGAAACCCTGGAGGTGAACCCGGCTTCCCACATGTACCCCTTGGCTCTGGATTGGGGACCCACAACCCCGGGGTTGGCCTCATTAAACACAGAGAGCATTCTGAGACTCATTTTCAATGTAACGTTTGTTATTTTATTGGAAAAAGCTGGTATTAACATATTTATAATTTTATTCAACAGTTGGATAACCTGTGAGACACCAAAGAAAACAAAAATGCACCTATGAGTTACGGAGTCCAACATGGGCAGGTCTGTCTACGCTGGTACCACGTACCCAGCGCCTCCGAACGCCCAGTCCTCAGCAAGTACTGAAATAGAAACAAAAACAACCGAACAACTTCACAATGACTCTGTGAACGCCCGTACATTCAATAAGAGCAGAAAAGTTAAACCGAGTAAGGAAGCGAAGTCTGTGACTATTTTACTGGCCCTTCTGCCATTACTAGTCTGCCCCTCCCCCCACAGCATCTTATCTCAACACACATGTTATTCACAATATGCTTTGGACACCATTATTGTCCAGGGATCCAAAGACATGCTTTTTCTTCCAAGAAGATCTTTTTCTTTCTTTTCTTCTTTTTTTTTCTTTTTTGGCTTGATATCCAAAGTCTAAAACAGAGCAAGGAACCAGGAACTGTAGTAAGACCTCCTTTCAAATACAGTGGAAGATCTGTACCTTGTAGGAATGGTAAATGTTAAATCTATGATCTGACAGTAACCTCTAGCTGCAAATGTAAGTTTCCTCTCAGCATCTGAATCACAAAGGGAAATGGATTGCGCCAAATATCCCAGTAATTGTGTAAGGCCCTCAGAGCTGGATTTTGGCTTCAAATTTCTATACAATTTACCACATTCTTGAACCTCTTTACAAGGGAAAGAAAAAGGAATCCAATCCTGTGATTGTTAATTTTAATTAGAATAGATATGTACATATAATACTGTCCAGGTCACCTGGATTTTACAGTGGTATATAAACAAACATTCTTCATTCATGTTGACTTAAAAAAAAACCAATGGAGCCATCTCCTTGTGTAATTATCATATGGCTGGAAGTGAGTGCACATGCGTTTTGTGTTCTGACACACAAGTGTATTGTTATCCGTTGAGAAAAATCTCAGGTTGGGTCTATTTCCTGGGTTAGGTTACATTTTGTTAAAAAAAAAAAAGGTGGATTCCGTCAGGCCTCTGCACTCTGTTTTCTGAATCAAAATGCAAGCCACGTGGTTCTGCTACAGTTCCAAGGGCAAAGACAAGGGTGTGGCTGGCGAGGGAGCCCCCCCCAAGAGCTGGAGGAACTGTTCTGGAGACACCACATCCTCCGGGGCCCTCAGGTAAGTGTCCTCTGAGACTGTGGGTCATTAAAGAAAAGCTATCCTCAAATGGTCATAACATGCAATTTTCTTTTGGAGGCAGTTTAGTGCAGCTGGAAGAGGGCTGGGGTACAGATGTGGGATGGAGAGAGGGTGGGGTTCCTCATTACCAAACAGGTGAGGAGCCACCAGGGGTCTCCTCCATTCTCCCCGGGCCCTCGTCATCGTCCCACCTGCTCTGCCTGCTTCACAAGATGAAGAGACGTCTTCAGAACCTTCCAGGCTAGAACGCTGCTTTAACGTGCATCCCCTACGTGGTGGGTTGGACAGCGCCTTGTGGGAGGGAGGCGATGAGATTCCTGACTCCTCCGCTTGGTTGGCGCACGCCTTGGGCCTCAGTTTCTGCATGTGTACAATGGGGATGACGAGTTATTCACCTTTAATCCCTGGCACCTGGCCCAGAGCCTGGCACTCAGCGAGCTGTTGGCATTCATGGAAGAAATGAATGGGCCCCCACTTCACGGGGTCAGGATGAAGATTCAGAAAGATCATGTGTGGAGCCAGTAGAGTTCCCACCAGGATGACAGGAGAGCTGGCAGAGCGGCTGCAGGGAGTAGACCATGGACCTGAAGGGCCGGCGCTGCGCAGGGCACGCGGCAGATGCTGGGCGAACGGTGGTTCAAATGAGGCTAACAGACATACACCCCATCCCCACCTCAAGAAACTGTAACCAACCTGGGATAGTGAAAGACATTTACATAACCCCAGAGAGGACTCTGCAGGTGCTCAGCATGAATTCACGATCCAAAAATCAAAAAGGTGAGACCCTTAGCTCTGAGACAGTGGAAATTGCTCCATTGATCATCAAAAGAATCCCTGGCTGGCTTGTTGGAGCTTCGTTATCTGTCCCTGGAGCCCTGATCTGGGGCCAGGGAGGCGCGTGACAGAAACAGCTCCCGGGGCTCCCGCGTCCCCAGAAAGGAACCGCTGTGGTGAAGAATGAACGCGCAGACGTCGAAATCCTAATGCCGTGGGAAAGACTGCGCGCGGTTAAAGCCCGGGATGAAAGAGGTGAACTTCAAGGCCGACAGTCGCGTCGGTTTACGATGATTCGTAGCTGTGAATCCTTTTTTTCCTGGTTTTAGACAGCCCCCAGCAAAGGCGGTCCGGCCTCGGCCTCGGGGCGCGGGAGGGGCGGCCCGGCGCCCCCCGGTGGCCGCTCGGCGCGTGGCCGTCGGACGGTCGCGCGGGGACGGCCCCGCGAGGCGCCTAGTGCATGTCCGAGTTCACCTTGTCCTGGAAGATATACAGGTTGTTGGTGGC